CGCCTCCTCGCCGTGTGCGGCGGCGCTGCTGGGCCGCCCTTCGGGGGGCCGCCCCCCGCGCCTCGCGGGGCTGGGAGAGGCGTCTCTCTCGGCGGGGTCGCAGCTGCCTCTGCGGAAGGCACCGAGAGGTACATTTTTCGCGCAATGGTCAAAATCAAGGTTTTGTAACGCGAGCTGTGCCACAGTGAAATGGAACTAGCCTGTGTGCGTGTGTGCGATGCGAGTGCGAAGTGGAGGGGGAAAACTCTGGCGTTAGCCGTTACAGCGGATACACCGATGATTTACGGTTAGGAAGTGGGTCACATCTCCTGTGATAAGCTGATAACCCCTCCCTCCGCGCGTGTGTGTCCTTATCTCACCAGCACCATCTCGTAGCAACAGAAGCCGGCCGGCAGCCCAGCGACCCCGAGAAAGTCAGCGACTTTCTGATCGGCCGGAAATCCGTCGACGCTGCGCAGCCAGCGCAGTCTGAACCCCAGCCGGTGGAAGAGCAGCTCCAAGGCCACGACAAACTGGCGCGGTGTCGGCGGAAGCATCGTCGGTGAGAGGTGCGCGTCGAGGAACAGCAGCTTCACGCCGCCTAGGATCTTCAGCGCGCGCGGATCCGCCGCCATTTGCTCGAGCGCCGCCCACTCGCACCCCTCACAATCGATGGAGAGGATGGTTGGCCAGCCCCCGTCGGCTTTGTTCGCCGCCACCAGCTCGGCCATTGTGTACAGCACGGTGCCGTCTATGGCTCCGAACGAGTTGATGGTGTTGCGCGAGCGGCCCGCGCCGAGGCCCGCAAAGTGGAACGTGAGGTTGCCGTGCTGCCGGCCCTTTCTGAGCTTCAAAGCGATCTGCTGTGCCGCCGCCTGTTGCCGCTGACGAAGGGCAATCGTTGGGTCGTAAGCGTGTACGATGCAGCCCCGCTTGGCAGCATGTATCGGAAAGCCCCAGGCGTCCTGCCGACCTTTTGGGAGATCGCCAACCCCGATGACATACGCCACGCAGCGTGTATCGACGGGCCACCAAGCCTCGCACTCGGGCTGCGACGCATGCAAGGGCGTTCGCGCCCCGGGGTTGCTCGGGCAAGCGAGCCTCTCGGAGCGGCCAGCGCCACCGGGAGCTGCCACTCGCGTGGGCAGTGTGCCGTTGGCCCAATAGCGCCGTGCGTGAGGTGAGTCGCCATTGATGACGTCAGTCCAGTGCGGTATCGCCTGATACAGTCGTTTCTCGAGGGCGGTCTCGCTCTTTGCGTCTCGCCAGGAGGCAGACCAGTCTCGGCCGCGCCAGATGTTGAGGGAACGAGAGCGCCACTCGGCAGGCGGCGGTGGCGGGCGCCAGTGCATGTTGCGCCAGTCAAAGACCGTCTCGTAGTCTACGGCGCCCGTCGATCCCATTTTGCTGGACACACGAAGGCTAGCTCATATGTGCGTGTGGGGTGTGTGTGCAGGAGTATGGCGGCGAGACCTAGCCGCTTGGCCTCAAACGGAGTGTCCAAACAGCGCGGTTCGGAGCTGCAAAAGGCAGCTGTGCAAAAGGCCTGTTTTGCCGGAAGAAACTCGTGTTCAACGCTGGCAAAACTTTTTTATTTTCGACGCCTGTGTGAACGACACATATAGTAGCGATGAGCACACTAGCAAGAGCTCGCCCCAGAGGCCGTCATCGCATTCGCCCTGGCCCAGCGCTGACTTCTGACTGTCGTTGCCGTCAATCCCTTCCTTTCTCGACTGTCTGAGCTTGTTGTTTTGTTTTGAGCTTGTGCGTCTTTATTCCTTGTGTTTTTGTGTGTGTGTCGCGCCTTGCAGGGGGGTTTTGTGAGAAGTGTGTGTGTGTCTCGCGCCTTGCGGGGGGGGAGCGGAAAGGAGGAACCTCTTCCCAAGAGCACCACTCTTGGAGCGCCGCCACTAACTACCACCCAGAGCGCTGCAAGCAGCGCCGGGCAATGACGGCTTACCGCCCACCCAGCCCCCCCTCGGCACACCCCGGCAGCCAATGTGTGACGGCTCGAACCCGCTAAGCCATCCCGCAAGCGGGATAGCCCGCCACTCGAACCCGCAAGCGGGTGTACGAACCGCGAGCGGCTCGCACTCGTGACACGCAGGCGTCCGCCAGACGGCGCCGGGGCTAGGCGACCGAAGAGGAACTACGGCAAGAACCGCACACCACCCGCTGACGAGCGCTCGCGGAACTGGTCCGCGGCGCCCGCGCCAGGGGCGTGCGCGAGACAGGGCTCCAAGCCCTTTCCTGTGAGCAGGGATCCCTCCCGGAGAATGAGCGGCGCCCTCCCCATGCTCGCCGACCTGGCTCGGGGCGACCTGGCCTCGCTGCGCGCCGTCCTCTCCGGGCAGGGGACGCGCGGCACGTCGCTCGCGGCCCAGCTCGACGCGCGGCACGACACCGAGAGGCAGGACACGCTGCTCACCTGGGCCGCTCGTCACGGGCAGGCCGAGGCGGTGCGGCTGCTGCTCGAGGGCGGCGCGAGCATCGGGGCGACGACTGTTGACGGCGCTTCAGCGCTGTACATCGCGAGCCAGGAGGGCCACCTCGACTGCGTCCGGCTGCTCCTCGAGGCTGGCGCGGCGGTGGCTCATGCAGACGCTGAAGGCCGCACGCCGCTGTTTGTCACCTGCCGGGAGGGCCACCTCGAATGCGCCCGCCTGCTCCTCGACGCTGGCACGGCGGTCAACCAAGCCCCGCAGAGCGGCGCCACGCCGCTGTACGTCGCGTGCCAGAACAACCATCCCGAGGTCGCCCGGCTGCTCGTCGACGTTGGCGCGGCGGTCAACCAAGCCCCGCAGAACGGCGCCACGCCGCTGGCCGTCGCGTGCCAGGACGGCCACCTCGAGATCGTCCGGCTGCTCCTCGAGGCCAGCGCAGCGGTCAACCAAGCCACGCAGAACGGCGCCACGCCGCTGCTCATCGCGTGCCAGCAGGGCCACGTCGAGTGCGTGCAGCTGCTGCGCGGCGCTGGCGCTGACATCGACCAAGCCACGCAGGATGGCTTCACGCCGCTACTCGTCGCGAGCCAGCAGGGCCGCCTCGAGATCGCCCGGTTGCTTCTCGAGGCTGGCGCGGCGATCGACCAAGCCAGGCAGAATGGCGTCACGCCGCTGTTCATCGCGTGCCTAAAGGGCCACCTCGAGTGCGCCCAGCTGCTTCTCGAGGCCGGCGTCGCAATGGACCAGGCGGACGAAGACGGTGCCACGCCGCTGTTCGTGGCGTGCCAGAAGGGCCACCCCGAGACCGCCCGGCTGCTCGTCGACGCTGGCGCGGCGGTCAACCAAGCCTGCAACGACGGCACCACGCCGCTGCTCATGGCGAGCCAGGAGGGCCAGCTCGAGTGCGTCCGGCTGCTGCTCGAGGATGGCGCGGCGATCGACCAGGCCGATGAGCAAGGCGCCACGCCGCTGTTCGCGGCGTGCGAGGACGGCCACCTCGAGGTCGCCAAGCTCCTCTCCTCCTACGGCGCCTCCCGCGCCGCTACGCCTTTCGGCACGCCCGAGGAGATTGCAAACCGTGAAGGCCACGCCGACCTCGCCGCCTGGCTGGTCGCCAGCCGCGGCTGGACGCCGCTCCAGCATCTCGAGGCGTGCCCGAGACTAGCGGCCGGAGACGTGAGTGCATTGTCCTCACGCCCATTGCCCCTCTTCCGCAGGCGCTCACCGTCGAGCGGGCTCGGGCGCTGCTGCGCGGCGGCGCTGACCCGCTCGCCGGCGCGCCTTCTTCCCTCGAGCGGGTGCGCATCCTCTGCTCGTGGGGCGCGTCGGATCCGACCGCTGCGGCCGTCGGTTCCACAGTCGAGATCCGCTCTCTCGTCTCGCGGCCCTCGATGAACGGCAAGGTCGGCGTCGTCGTCTCCGCAAACGCTTCGACGGGCCGCTTCGGCGTGCGCGTGGCGGGCGAGGCCAAGGCACTCGCACTGAGGCGCGCTATGGTCTCTCCCCCACTCGCCGGATCCTCTCTTTGACACACCTCTGCCCTCCCTCAGGCCGGCCAACCTGCAGCCAGCGGCCAAGGCGGTGGAGGTGGGCAGGCTGGTCCTCAAGGCGGCGGAGTGGTCGCCGCAGTCGCACGAGCTCTTCCCGACAGCGGCTCGCAAGCGGGCGGTCGAGGTGATGCGGCTGGGCTACCTGATCGCCTGGGACGAGGAGCGCTTCGACAGCCGCGAGGGAGCGGCTCCAGAGCTGGCGGACATCTGGCGCGGCTTTGTGCTGCCAAGGGTGGTGGTGCGATGACTCACTCAATCCGCACGGGGTTTTCAGTGAGAGGGCCAAACCCCCAGGTGGGGGTCTTGCCGTTGCCCCTGTGCGGTCGCGTCTATTCGGGTTCCTTTCTTTTCTCTCGGTGCGCGGTTCGCGTAGAGTTGATCTTTTTGTTCTTTTTGCCCTCGTGGTGTACCTTAGGGTACCCCTAGGGTTCTGAGGGCCGGATTCGTGTTTTCTTTTAAGAAATGAAATAAATAAATAAAACGGACACCTCTACTAGGAGATGGGTAAAAAGGAACAGGTCCCCGCCCTTGCGATCTTTGTGCAGGGTTCTTTGTGGTTTGGGAGGGGCCGGTGCAGGCCCTGCGCAGGCACGGTGCTGCGCGCAGTGTCGCCACACGTGCTTCCCGACCTCGGCTCACCACTCACCACTACATCACCCGCAGCATATCCACCAGGTCGGCCATCTCGGCATCTCCACGGTCGTTTGCGAGCGCTTGCATGGCCACGTCGAGGACAGAGTGGCCATTGCCATTGCGGCTCCGCGCTAACGCGTTCGCGCCACACTCAAGCAGGAGCTCAGCGACGTTAGCGTGGCCCTGCCGAGCTGCAACCCACAGGGGCGTGCTCCTCGTGTTGACGCCGCCGCGAGCCTCGAGATTGGCACGGGCGCCGTGAAGCAGCTTGACCACGTTGTACTGCCTGAACTTCGCCGCGCACCAGAGCGCAGTCCCCTCATCGTTGCCACGCCCGCCGCTGTATTCGATCGCCGCGCCTCTATCGAGTGCAAGGAGCACGCCGTGCTCGCAGCCGAGCGCAGACGCTTGCCACAACACCGCATTCCACCCCTCGTCTGCTGCGTCGGCAGCCTGAGTTAGCCGCTGGAATGTCCGGCACAGGCAGCGTGCGAACCAGCAGGTGAGGGGTGCCTCGGTGGGCCAGCGGAACGAGGGCAGCGCGTGCTTCACGAGCGCGTCTGCCGCATCATCACTGCGCGCGACAGCACGGCATGTGGAGCAGGTCGCGGCGAGATTGTCCAGAGAATCAACGTCGAGAAGGCAGGCGATCTTGAGCAGCAGCACGTTGGGAAGCTCCACGTGGACAATGGCCAAGTTTCCCAGCAGCTCGAGCGGCAACAAGGGTCCTGCTTGGCAGGCAGGGACACGCACCGGTTGAAGCGCCTGGAGCAAAGTCCTGTCACGGACTTGGTGCGTTTGCCCCCATCCGGAGCGCATCCGTGGCGGGACCAGCGGGGGGCCAAGCGGACCGTTCTGGAGGACAAGCATTGAGCTTCAGCCCGCTCACCGCAGAAAAAAAAATGCCGACACCACGCCCAGCCCCCCTCCGTGTCGCGATGCGCTCCCCGCTCCCGTTCCCCGGTGTCCCTGATCGTCCTTACAAGATCCTGCTCGTGCAGGTGGGGACCCTGTCCTTCTCCCACCCCTCGTTTGGCGTGTCCGTTGTATTTATTTATTATTACGCCGTCCGCAGGCCGACACGCACGCCGAGCTATAGCTGTCCTCGCCCCTCCCACACATCCGCGCCTCTCTACATCACTCTAATCGATGTTACGCCCCGAGCCGGAGCTCAGGGGCCGCGCGGGTCCGCGACCGCCGTAGCGGGCGCGAGACCCAACTCCTCTGCAATCTCCCACGGCACGCAATGTGCAACTTCACGGAAAGCTGCTGCGTCTGGTACGAGAGCCACGAGCGCGCCGACCATGTGGTCAGATCGTATTGCTGGTGGCTCAGCTTGTTGCGTACCTCCCACGCGAGGTCCTTGAGGAACTTCACCACGCCCGGCGAGAAGCCTCCGAACGTCTCGAAGGCGAGAAGCGCCACCTCGCACCCGACGGAGAGCGCGTGCGCGTAGTCCGCCTTCCGCGGCGCAACGTAGCCCTCGCCCGTCAGCGGCTTGAAGTTGCCGTCGCCCTTCTCGCCGCGCTGCTCCAAGCCGTAGACACGCTCATCGAGCTACCATAGAGGGCGAAACGCACGGCTACTCGCATGCTCTGCTGGGACGGGTGTCTAGAGGCAAGGAGCGTAACCAAAAGAACAATTAACCGGTTAACTGGTTAACTGCAGTTAACTGCGCTCAGACGCCGCTATCTGTAACTGTTGGATAGTGAATTGGTTCGGCGCAGCCCCACCCAGCTCTGACCAGCCCTCCCGCATCGCCCGGCGCCAGAGCCAAGGCTCGACGCCAAACCCGCGGTAAAACTCCTCAAAGCAGTCCTTGCACTCGAGGCCCCTTCCTCGAGCGTCCTTTGACACGTCCAACGGGTTGTCCGCGCTCGCGCCAGCCCACTCCTCGAGCGCCTCCAGCACTAGTGCCCCGTAGACGGCCTCGACCGCCGCCTCCGCGATCGCCTCAGCAGTCGACCCGCCCACCGCCGGATCCCGTGGCCGCACAGAAGAAGAAAAAGACGGAGCGCAGGCCTCCCCCGAGGCCAATGCCTCGGGCGAAAAAGAAGAAAAACGCTCGCAGCTTCACATCGATGGCCTCCCACCGCATCGGCGCCCGCGTCGCGGGCCTCTCGCCAGAGCAGCTGTGCGCCATCATCGAGGCGCAGGCGGGCGCGAGCGACGCCGCGCTGCGCGTGGCGGAGGAGCACGCCGCTCGGCTCGTGGAGCAGCCCGAGTGGGTGCTCTCCGAGGTCCTCCTCTCGCCGGACCTCGCCCCGCACATCCTCGCCCAGCTGCCGACCACGGAGCACGCCGTCAAGGGGACGTGCCGCGCGTGGCGCCGCGGCTGGAAGGAGACGCTGAAGAAGCGCGAGAGGCCGCGCGTGGTCGTGTTCGGCGGCCACGACAACGCTGGATGCGTCATCAGCTCGCTGGAGCGGTACGACCCGTCAACAAATGAGTGGGAGGAGGAGCTTGTGGCGCCGATGCCAACGGAACGCGGGAATTTCGGCATGACGGTGCTGGATGGCAAGCTCTATGCGGTGGGCGGGAGGGTCGGCGAGGCAAGTTCCAACCTGGTGGAGCGGTACGACCTGGCTGCGAATGTGTGGAAGGCGGTGGCGCCGCTGGCGACGGTACGCGATGGTCACGCCGTGGCGGTGCTCGACGGCAAGCTTTATGCTGTGGGTGGCACCAATCCCAACGACGGCTCCCTCAGCTCGGCGGAGCGGTACGAACCGGCGCTAGATGTGTGGGAGGAGGTGGCGCCGATGGCGACGCCACGCGTGAATCACGCCGTGGCGGTGATCGACGGCAAGGTGTACGCTGTGGGAGGCTACACCAACGGCGTCATCAGCTCAGTCGAGCGGTACGACCCGGCGGCGGGTGCGTGGGAGGCAGTGGCGCCGCTGGCGGAGGGGCGGGACGGTCTCGCAGCGGCGGTGCTTGACGGCAAGCTGTACGCTGTGGGCGGCGTCAACGACGACGACGACGCCCTCAGCTCGGTGGAGCGGTACGACCCCGCGACGAATGCGTGGGAGGCAGTGGCGCCGATGGGGACGGCGCGGTGGGGTCTCGCTGTGGCGGTGCTCGACGGCAAGCTGTACGCTGTCGGCGGGCGGGGCGGCGGCGTCCTCAGCTCGGTGGAGCGGTACGACCCGGCGTTGGGCGCGTGGGATGCGGTGGCGCTGATGGGGACGGCGCGAAGCTGCACACCTCTCGCCCACGGACTCTGGTAGGGAGGAGATAGTCCTCGCTAACCATATCCCACTTTGTTTGTGTGTGGAGTGTCGCAGAGAGAGTGCAGAAGCATATCGCCTGGTCTCTGTCGTCCACTGTCAGACACTGTCAAAAAAGGGGGGAAATAATCACTCTCGTGTGGTTTGTGAGGTGTGGGGGCTGACGAGGAGGGTGGCGACCTCAACCGACTATGGAGGACCCGTCGCCAGACGACGCAGGACAGACGACGGTGAGGCGGAGCACGAGACGCGCAGGGCGAGACGAGGGACTGAGCCCTGGTCAATCCGTGGTCTGACAGCCTGACCCAGCAAACCCGGACAGCGCCTGTCCTGACAGTGCCCGACAGCCTGACAGCGTTGACAGCACTTTCTCTGCCAGTCTGACAGCACGTATCTGACAGCCTGTGCCTGACAGCAGCGAGTCTGACATCAGAGGGGCTCCGTCGCTGTCAGGCCCTAACGTGACGCTCCTGACAGCTGCCTGACTGAGCTGACACGTGACAGCCCGACAGCACACACGACACAGTGAGCGCTGACAGCCCGACAGCCCGACCAGCCCGACAGCAGCACAGACCGTACATACGCTTAAACAGGTCACAGCCGTGCAGGCTGCAGCCTCTTTCTTGCGCCCTCCATGAGGGTATAACAAAACATGCACAAAACATGGACAACATCGATGACATGGACATGCACATGCAGTCATGGGCTGGTCATGGCACATGGGTCTCTCTCTCAACCCTCCGTCGGCTTGGTTGGGTCTCCGTCGGCGGCGAGTAAGGCGGCGGGGATGGTGGGGTCGCCGGCGGGGCCGACGGCGGGGCCGACGGCGGTGACGGCGGAGAGGGCGAGGCGGACGGCGGCGGCGCAGGCAAGGCGGAGGGAGGCGGCGGCAGAGGCGGCGGCGGCGACGGCGAGGCGGACGGTGGCGGCGGGGAGGGTGACGCGGAGGGCGGCGGCGGCGATGGCGGCGGA